TATTTAAATTCTAAGTGTGCGACTTACAATAATGTATAATGCAATATGATGTGAGAATCAGACTTCTGACATTATAAATCATGTTTGGTTTCGACTTATTAGTTTAAAATGAATAAAAAGACGAACTTCTAACATGATAGATTGTGTTTTGATAAGTTAAATCATAATGTATAACATTTTAAATCTTGTTTGGTTTGACTTCAAACTATTTAGTACTAAAATGTATAGAAAAACGAGCACATCAAAAAACGAGATGCAAATTTGAAAAATGATTGCATGACTAAAGTCATTTTCATGTAAACGACTAGAGTCGTTTAAAGCAACTATGGTCATTTTCTTATAAAATGTCTGGAGTCGTTTTTGTTTTTAAGGAAAAATAATTGCAGTCATTTAAAACGATCAAAATTGTTTTCCATTTATCACTTATTATATGAAATAAAAAACTACGAAAAACTACCCAATATTCATGAAACAGTCTAATCGACATGCTATCAACTAAACAAACAATATACTAATCCTCCAATATTCTATTGGCTAAAGGTATCTGACTTGTACGTTTTAGCCGATTGTGCCCAATTGCAGCACACCTGCTACATTTCTGTCTTTTGGGAAACTCTTCAGCAGACAGAATCCATATTATTTTAGTATGTCCACCTTGTCATCGTATTAACGGTGGCAACACATTGAGGAACCAAAATTTTCAAGAATTTCCCAATCAACTTCATTTGGTATAGGAAAAATAGCATCACTATAAGCTATTCTCCAATATTTAACATTATAATATAGAAAGCAGAATGAGTAAATTGAATAACCACTCTTTTTTACCATAGCTATTGCATGCTCGCACTGTAAATATTCTAATTGAAACCATCTACAAGTACAAGTTTTTTCCATCCAAGTTTACAGTAAAATTCATGGTGTCATTCCTCACTTTATACTTGAACTAATTGATCAGGTCGGCAACAAACTTATTGGCTTTATCAACATTTTTACATAGTTTCTCTTCAATTATTGACATTAGAGTACTTGTATAGCTTTGTGCATTCGCATGCCTTTCATAAAACCATTCTACAATCTTTTTCTAATACTCTCAATCAACCCCAAGTATAGAATTATGTCGATCTTTCTTAAATGCCAAATTCAGTGACTTTGCATTATCGATGTCATGATATTGTAATGGTTCCCCTAAAAGTATGACCTGGCCCAATTATGGAAACATACTTTGACTAAATAATTCCAAGCTCTAATATCAATTCTCTTAATTTCGCTCATATAATTTCCAAACTCTTCTATGGTATATGCCTCTGCTGCTTTTTTAAAAAGTAGAAAAATCTCAGTTTTTTGAGTTATTGTCCTTAAAGTACCTTTTATATGGTATATGCAATAACCAGGATGGGCATTTTGATAGATAGCTTGAACTCCATTGATAATACTAGGATGTCGACCAAAATATAACAACAAGATCTTCGGTATCCCCCATCACTTCTTTCAACTTCGTAAAAAATCTAGTCCACAATGTATCATTCTCAGAATCAACTATACCCCAATTAAGAGAATAAATCTAAATATTTGCATCTTGACAAGTAGCAATAATTAGCTTACTTTTATATTTCTTGGTAAAAAATGTTTCATCAACGACAACTACCTTCCGCATTAAAGAATGAAATCCATGAATGCAAGGTCTGAGAGCCATAAAAAAGTACTTGAAGCGGTTCTCATTGTCAATCTTTAAAGATAATGTTGCTCCCAGGAGTAGTTCTAACGAAATTACAAGAATATAAGCCCAATTTAGCATAACTATCCTCAGGGGAACCTCTTAAAACTTCTAAAGCACATTTTTGTAACTTTCTTGTCCTCTGATAACTCATTTCTACCCTGAATTCCCGATGCATGTCACTAATGACATCTACAAGTCTATATACAGTGTTGGAATTTTGAAACTTAGGCATTATATGTCTTCCAACAACCCACGTTCTTGCCTGTCGATGATCATTTCGATGAATACTCATAGAGCAAGTATGTTCACGTGCATACTTGTGAATTTGAAAGTAATCACAATTTTTGAATATAGTTGCTCGCAAGCGCCATATGCAATTTTCATCTATGCAAACAATTGTATAGATTTCCTTATTTGATTTCTTCATTCTAAATTCAAAGTTATACTTCATTGCAAGCGTGTGGACTTCCATCCTAAGATCTTTTTGTTGTTGAAAATTTGACAATCTTCTAAATCTGCATCTTCGGGAATCACATGTGACGAAAGAGTTGAAGTTTCAAGGTGCTCATTAGTAAAAAGATTTTATTCTCTATTGTTTTGAAGTATTTTAGATCCATGTGCAGAGAAAAAATAGTATTAGCATTTTTAGTAATATCCACATTATTGTCTTGGGCTGTCTCCAACTCATCCTAATTAATATTCTCAGTTTGATACACTTCATTGTTATCATCTTGCATTTCACAAAGAAGATTACTGCTTTCATTTTTTCAAAATGAACTTCATCGGCTTTTACTTCATAAAATGAATCATTGTCTTCTTCTTATGGATGGTCAACTGGATATTTGCTCGCAAGGGTTACCCAAATTAGACAATGAGAATTTCTTTAATTTGTTGAGAGATAGCAACCACTGCACTTGCCTAGCTGAAGTAATTTTAATTGGGACTGAAAACTGTCTATTTTTAGGTAAAAGAGATTTCTTCTCAACATCATGTGAAGATGAATCAACTTTGCAAATGTTTAGCACTTCACAATACAGATCATGATATGAAGTATTTGAAGATATTGGAACTCCTTCCACCATTTCACCACCCCCGCTTCGTTTCCATATCCATTTTCCTTCATCGTCATTAATAAAATCGCCAAAGTAAAATATAGCAATCCATGTTGTTAAGTCTATATCTGTAATTAGATTAGTAAGATTTTAGAAAGTTAACAAATAATCAATTTTAGTGGTACAGAGCTTGCTTTTCAGCAGCACAAGCTAGGGTTGTAAGTATTCCAACACTTAGATGTACTAACAAAGCCTACTCTTCAATTCATCGTGCAAAAGTTATAAGTGTTATAGCATTTAGATATAGTAACCAAGCCTACAAAATAGTCCAAGCTAAGTTCATCAGTCCTTCACAAAAGGTCCACCAGATCCGACTTAATGAAGTTATCCTTTAATTTACCTAAATTTAAGCAATTTCAGCAGGCACTTTACTAAATTTTGATTAAGCTGTTCTAAATTTTTACGTCAATTTTAGTCATCAATAGTTAAAGAAATAAACGATCATGTTGGGCGATAGGGAAGTTGTCTTACTAAGTTGGATGGTCATCTAAAATACAGTCAGAGTCATCATCATGAGGCATCTAGGAAGTACCAACTCCAACTATATCTTCCAACAATGCCTCCAAATGCTCCAGTGCCTCATAGAAGAAACTAGAGAAAAAAATCTAGCACTTTTATCCTAATGAAGTTGATGACTTCATTTAGCGTAATGACGTGATCTTTCTTGTTTAAAGTGTCAACTTCTGGAAAGGCCTTCCATTTCCCCACTGCATTGATTGCATCGACCACTCAGACCTTTTCGCCTTAACTCTTTTCATCTCCACAACGACATTGATTCTTTCCAAATCCAACTTGTCCATGATGAGCTCTTTTTTGGCTAGGAGTCCCCAACTTCCATCTCTTGCTAAGCCTTAACCACTAGCTTAGCCTCAGACAAGTAGTTAAAGAAGTCCTCTTCTTGGTCTATTTTGTCCTAACCTCACCATGGCGAGCTCTTCACTCTTTGGCAACTTGGAAAATAACCAAGGCATTATCCCTAATCTTCTAGATGGCCAGTTTAAACAAATGGAAAAAGTCAAATGACTTGATAAAAATAAGAACGTTACAAAAAGAACAAAAGTATAATAAAAAAATAAAAAAATTGTACATTTTCCAAAATCATCATTATATAGAGAATGGAATGATGGGCATAAACGACAACCTTGATGTAAGACATATTAGCGCTCATTTGGCCCAAAAAGCCTTGCTCATGATCAGTCCATCTATGAGTAAATGACAAGCTGAATTGGTAAGGGGTGGAGGTCGAGTTAAGTTCGTCGACATGGATGGAGGAGCCATGTAAAATGTAGAAGCGCCTCACTCAGTGCCATACCTGTGTTTCACTGGGCCTAAGGCGAACTTCAAGATTTGGGCTCCTTAGCCATAGCAAGCAATCCATTTTTTGTGTGTAAGAGTTTTATGGAACTAAATTTGTTAATTTAAAATTGAAATAAAGCAATAAATAAAATGAAATATTCAAAATGTATATATTATAATCAATTAAAATACTAAAATGTTCTAAAAAAATCACTTAAATGCAACTCATCTTATAGTTTTTTAGGCAAAAATATCAATCAATTTTGTATAGTCGAGTTGTTCAATAATTTCTTTCTCAATGGATAACATGGCCAATCCATTCAATCTTTGCTGTGACATAATCGATCGGAGATAAGACCTTTATCAATTTCAACTTGGAAAAGTTTCTTTCTACTAATACAACTATAATGGTATAGTGAGCAAATCTTGTAAGCAATGCAAGTAATTGGAAAACAACCATTCATTTTCTTCAAGTAATTTAACACATCAATTGCTCTTTTTGTTTCTTTTGGTAAATAGTACTTCAAGACTATCAGCTTTGTGCATAAGTCATCACCAATAATGTCTAAATGTCCATTATGTTTCAAATACTGCTCAAGATTCTCACAAGATTTCAACAAACTGTCAACATGCATTTTGTTTAATTCCTCCACATTAAACAAAAATCCAAATATCTCTTCATAATGTTTGAATTGTTCAAAATGGGTTTGAAGTGAAGATGGAGCTTGATCAATTATAAAGAGAAAATAATCAACTCTAAAAGATTCTTCAATTGATTATTTTACATTTTCACTCCCATTTTCATCTAAATGTATCTTCCTTTGAATGCTTCGTTTCTCTTGAAATACAGCATCAATTCCCATTTTACTTTATATTTATTTAGCTTCATCCATGGCACTAGAAAATCCAGTTTCTCTATACTTTTTGAGAAACAAAATAAGTGCTTGTAAACATTTGATAGCTTCATCAATATCCATGTTCTCAGCTTGAAAAAATGTACTCACAGTATTGATTGTATGCAATAACTTATACCAAATGACCATGCCAAGCAAAAACTCAAAATTCTCAAGTTCATATATTGCTAAGGACTCAGCTTCACTCTTTGTTTTAGAATCTTTAACAATGTTTGCCAGTTCAAGTAAAACATCTCTTATTTGTACATATTGCTTTTTTATAGGCTTCACACTTTCTACGTGACTTTTTCAACGTGTTTGTGACCATGGCTTAAGTGTCAAACCTTCAACCTTATCTTTAAAAATCTTCCATCGTTTGGGAGAAAAAGTGAGAACAATGTGTGATTAATGTGTGATTGCGTTGTATCACTCCAAAAAAGAACATGGCTTTAGAACAACAATTTGTCTATCACATAATGCTAAATTAAGGCTATAACAACCACATGGAGTATAGAAAACTCTAGGATTTACTTCAAGTAACCTTTTTGTACACCTTTATGTCTCCCGCTTATGTTAGTTCCATTATCATATCCTTGTCCTCTTATATTATCAATATCAAGCTCAAGATTACTTAGCACGTTTTTAAGCTCAGTGAAAAGTCCAAGTCCTGATAAATCATCCTCTGTCAAAAATTTAATCCAATATTCTTGTACCATTGACGAGTTTATTGAATCGTCCACGAATCAAAATGTCTTCATGACTCGCATCTGGAGTATAATCAAGTATGACAGAAATATATTTTGCATGTTTCACTTTCATTACAATTGCACTTCTCATCTCGTCTGCCAACATATGTTTTAATTCATTTTGAATCTTAGGACCAAGATAGGTATACTGAATCTCACGTGCTTGAGCACGTCGAATGTGTTCTTTCATTATTGGATCAAACTCAGCAACCATTTCTATCATTTGCAAAAAAAGTCCGTTGTTCCCAACATAAAGTTGCTCACAATCTCCTCGAAATGCCGAGGTATTTTAGCAAGTCTTTTTACAATAGCAATTATCCTCGCTAACACTTTTTTCCAATACTCTCTTTCTTTTTTAATGGTCAATTGTACACTTTCATCAATTGTATGTTTTGTTTGAAGCCTATTTTCCAATTCCGTCCAACTAGTCATGCAGCCTGTATGCTCCTTAGCCACTTCATGATTTGTAAGGCGCCAATGCACATTATCCCAATATTTGTATCCATCATTACCCAATTGACCAATGTTTTTCATCGTTTTTTCTGTCTTAAACAACTTGGAGGAAAAAAAAATATCTTGTCTAAAAAAATTGAATACGCTAACCATCTTCTATCAGTTGTCTGCCCATTTGCAAGTAACTGCTTATATTGTGATGAATCAAAATGTCTAACTTGACTATCTTTGGGAAATAAAATGTTATCAACTATTTTTGGATCCATTTCAACTAGAATGTCCCTTGTTTTTTGATCAATGTGAACGTCCTTCCAATTTCCAAGATCCTCAAAATTCAAAGAAAAGTAATTATCTTGATTTAAATCTTCATGTTGAACATTATTTTCATCATTCTGCTTTGATTCACACACATTGGCAGGTTCAATCACTTCCTCGTTCTCTTTTCGTTCATCCATATTAGCGTTATCATTTTGATTCTGTTGTTCCTCAATCATTAAATTTTCTGGTGTTCCTTCTTTGTCTTTTTGTTTCTTGTTATTAAAATACTTATTCATATCTCCAGCTTGGTTTCGAAATAATGTTTCTACACTTTCTCTCTTCTTCTTTTTTTGAGCTCCAGATACGTATTTAGGAGCCATGGTATTTGACTCAAGTCACAACAGCTAACAATTACTGATATTTGACTGTAAAGTTAGAATAAGAATTATAACATCAATCCACACACCCAAAATGAAGAGGAAAAGCTGGAAATTATGACACTAGTGTCTAAAATCAATTCTGTTATAGTCATCTAAAAGTGTGATGAAAACTTCCAAAGCAAAATTGGATTCATAGAATGCCTTTAAAAATCTTTTAAATGGATAAAACTCATCAAAGCAAATAATTGCAAAATAGATATTATTAAGTGATGCAGATGCTCGTGAAATTTCACTAACTACCCTGTTAATATAAAAGCAATCGTGGGCTGCCTTATGTGTCCATTGTTACCATTCCAATCATCATAATGTGGCCTAAATTCAGATATAAAAAGCATTCAGATTCAGAACCTCAGAATATGTTCAATTCCATGACCTTGCAAAAGCAATGTAAAGGAATAAAGCCTTTTGTGTCCTGCCTTATTTGTCCATTATTAAAAGGTTTGTTATTTAGCCTTATTTCTCTACTGAACACTACCAAAAAAGAATGTTCAGCTTTAACCAACTTCTCATGGTCCATGAGGGTGTCGTTTTTTAACTATCAGATGGTCTCAGATTGCTGCTCAATTGCCTGGAAAAACAGATAATGAAGAATCTTTGGAATTCTTCCATTATGAAAAAATTGAGGCAAAAAGGGATTGACCCTAATACTCAAAAACCATTTTCTGAAGTTGAAAATTATGAAGAAAAACCATCTGCAAGCAGCATCAAGAATAAGCACCAAGATTAGAAAACATCATACGGGTCTAGTGAACTGACTATTGGGATTCTCACCATCAAACACTCATCTCTAATTCTCTAAAGGTTTGTTATTCTGCACTATTTCTTTAGGCATTGTCCAAAACAAGTCTTATGTTCTAATTGGTGCCTTGTACAAAAAACCACCACATAAATTCATAAACAACCGCAGGTAATCTGTAATCAGTTTGGAAACTAGTTTGCAAAACTAAAAATATAAGATTAATACTTAATAACAATTAACAAAAACCAAAATCAATGCATAAACAGAAAAATAATCCCAACCAGCAATTAATTAACAAGGAACAATCTTGAAAAACATTTTCGAAACAATCGACTAGGAAAAGGAAAATATGAAATTGCCCTACTGTAGTACATATGCAGGAAAGCAAAAGAAAGAAAAAGAAGAAATTTAAAAATATAGACATACCCAAAATTGGCAAAACGGGATGGACATTGAAAAAAGGAGATGAGAAATTGAGAGGTGGCTTGTTGATTTTGGCGTTTTGCCGACTACCGTTGGTTTCTCAAGGCTTACTCGTTGGTCCGGTCTGTATGAAATTTTGAAGATGGCAGTTTTGAGGCATTATGCATGGTGGGCTTTATTTAAAAATAAATAAAAAAATGACACCAAAAAGTTGGGCCTCCTAAAAAGCTAGGCCTGAGGCAGAGGCCTCTTGGGACTCTCCTCAGGTCCGGCTCTACGCCTCAGGTCGACTCTCTGCAAGCTCGTCTAAATTTGATCTAGGTAAGCTACAGAAAGAGTCGGCCCTCAATCGTAAAACCAACTTTCCTCTTTTGTCTCATGAAGGGATTGTATAATGACCAGTTTTCTTGAAACTACTTATCTCGAGATTAAGATCAATAAAGAAAAACTAAGGTCTAAATTCCAAAAGGTAAGATGAAAAAAATGAACCAGAATGTGTAGACTTCACGTGGAATTGGAGGGAAGATTTTATAACAAAAGTTCGACTTGGAATAACAAAAGTTCGACTTGGAAAAGGATATAGTTATTAATCAGACCTTATTGATGAACTAACTCGTGATCGATTGACTTCCAAAAAGTAAGATCCTAGTTACTTCAAACTGAAAAACAAAAGCTCCGAACTTACCGAAGTAAATGTCCAGACCTTGGGGGACATTTGTTGGTGTTCAAACTCATAAAACCAGCTCAAATTTACCTTAATTAAAGGAGAGCATATGAAGATTCAATAGTCACTTCAAAGAGAATGGACAAGGAGATCACAAGGACAATTCTACCCATGGTAGGTCAGATTAGGGATGACAAAAAGGCTCGAAGGCTCGGGCCGCCCGTTGCTCGGCCCGCAAAAAGCTCAAGCCAAACCCCATCTTGGGATGCCGGGCCGAGCCCGAGCCGGCCCATGTGGCTCGCGGGCCGACTGGATAAAAATAATAATAATAATAATAATGGCGTGAAAAGGCAGTCTACTGCCTCCTAAAAAAGGTAGCTACCAGCCGCCTTTTAAAGGAGAGAGGGAGAGAAAAGGAAGAAGAAAAATAAAATTAAAAGGGGGAAAATTTAAAAAAAAACCGAGCCGGCTCGGCTCGGCCCATTTTGGCTTGGTAAGGCCCGAGCCGAAAACCTTGGGGGACATTTGTTGGTGTTCAAACTCATAAAACCAGCTCAAATTTACCTTAATTAAAGGAGAGCATATGAAGATTCAATAGTCACTTCAAAGAGAATGGACAAGGAGATCACAAGGACAATTCTACCCATGGTAGGTCAGATTAGGGATGACAAAAAGGCTCGAAGGCTCGGGCCGCCCGTTGCTCGGCCCGCAAAAAGCTCAAGCCAAACCCCATCTTGGGATGCCGGGCCGAGCCCGAGCCGGCCCATGTGGCTCGCGGGCCGACTGGATAAAAATAATAATAATAATAATAATGGCGTGAAAAGGCAGTCTACTGCCTCCTAAAAAAGGTAGCTACCAGCCGCCTTTTAAAGGAGAGAGGGAGAGAAAAGGAAGAAGAAAAATAAAATTAAAAGGGGGAAAATTTAAAAAAAAACCGAGCCGGCTCGGCTCGGCCCATTTTGGCTTGGTAAGGCCCGAGCCGAAAAGCTCGGGCCGAGCCTCAATTTTTTGACCAAGCTTTTGCTCGGCTCAACTTGAGCCAAAAAAAGTCAGTCTTCAAAAAGCTCGAGCCTTGATTTTCGACTCGCGAGCTGGCTCGACTCTACTCGTTGTCATCCTTAGATCAGATCAAATAGTGACAAGTCAGCCCTACACATGTTAGGTCAACTTGACTAGTTATAGTTCATCTTGACTCATAAATATGTCAACCCTATCCATGACAAGTCACCTTGACCAAAGTTGGGTCAACTCAACCAACGACAAGTTAGCTCGACCTGCAACAAGTCAACTCAGCCTATGCCCGCCATCATCTAGAAATATCATCTTTTCAATTTTGAACATGTATCTTGAGTGATGTCATCACCATAGGACAACCACTCCCAAAATGACAAGTGGCACACATGACATGAGCACCTTATTTTCATCCAATTAGAAATTAGAATTGATTATCAAGGTGACAAGTAATCATGACATAGGCCACAGCTACGTCCTAGGTACCATAACACTTGTTCGACCGACCTCAAGAATCAACCAACATTCTTAAATTTAGATGGTGGCTGTACTTCTAGGTCAATACTGTATCTGATATAACATCAAGCTGCCAAGTTGCTTGATTTATGGGCTAATAAATTGGGGCAAATGGTATCCTCCAAGGACCAAACTTAATGTATTCTCTCCAATATACTCCAAACTTCAGTCAATGAAATTATTGTTTAATTTTACTAAATTTCAACAATTCCAGCAGTCATTTTATGAAATTTCTATTAAGGTAGTCTGAATTTGTTAAGTCATTTTTAGTCATAGCACGAGTAGTTGTCCAATTGATTTAGATGATATTGATTAAAACGAGAAACTTGATGTAATCAACACAAAAGGAAAGCAAAAATCTAAACAAATTGTAAAATATTGGGAACACTTCAAATTTGTTTTCATGGGTCGTAAGTAGATGGTGTCTAAGATTCTAAAGCAGTATGCAGATATTTTCAAACAAAATGGCATGGTAATAGGGAATCTGGATTACCCACCTCAACCATCACTCAAGAGATGTTTGACCAAACATGATCTTATTGGCCAAACACAAACACGCGTGGGAAGACTTATTGAGAAAACTTACCTATGTGATTTCCTTTAGCATATGAAATGGAACCTAGGTATAACTCGAAAGTACAGAACATGTTATAAGAAAAATTACAAACACTGGTTTTGATGCCACAATCACATAGTCTAATCTAAAGAACACTTTACTGACATGTTCGCATTATATGCACTAAGATTGGGTATAAATTTTAGTTGGGCACCTTCCATACCTCCTTCTACCGTTAAAGTTGATCAACAAGACTAAGAATTATTGAATTTATATAATGAGGATGAAAGATTTGATATAGATTCTTCTACTATATTTCTATACTCAAAGTGCATTGAACATAGATCCAGGTGGAATTCCCTTAGAATTATATAGAAATTTTAATCATCAAATGCTTAGAACTGTAGATCCAACTTATGCAATAAGTTCAAATTTACTTGATTTATGGAGTTATCACAAACGGATAGTATCCCCTTATTTCTGTCATTGCACGTAATCTATCAACACTTCAAATTAGCACTGTAACATCGGAGTTTGCTTTTGGTACATGTAGCCGAATTTTGTCCTATTTAAAGAACTGTCTCAAATAAGACATTTTATTTTAATGTGTATAAAGGATTGGCAAGACACTCATTATCAAGTCCAAAATCAACATATAGAAATTGCATCTAGTTAGGTAAATGATATTTAATTTCATCATCTTAGGACTTTGTTGTTTTCTTAATAATATTCTATTTTAAAAAAGAAAGAATTGTACACATAAGAAATCGTTCACCTATAATTTTAACTTCGCCTACTTGAAAATTAAGTAGCTAATTCCAACCCCGAAAAGATGAGAAGAGTTTTCAAAATTAGAAAAAAACAAAATAAAATAAAAACTTTGAGCTCATGGGCCGAGCTCGAATGAGCCAACCATAAGGGAAGAGGCAAGCTCGTGGGTAAAGGGGCCGAATTGGCCCGGCCCATTGCTTCTACTAAAGTTAAGAATTCAAAAGTAATTCTGAACCTATAAGCTTTAGAGTCAAATTAGT